GAAGCATGGGTATGACGATTCGAGCATGCATGGTTACTACCAGAGGCCACCCCACAGCCATATCATCGATGAGAAGGCACGCATGATGTTTAGTGATGACAACCCAAATGCTTGCTCGGTTATGTAGATACTGCTTTAGTTCGTGTATGACAATCCAGCTTCTTTGGAAGTTTTGGGGTCTGTCATCAAGTGCACTCGTGTGGATAAAGGAAAAGCATATTTGGTTTGGTTCCCAATAAGGGATTCATTCCCTTGTTTGCTGTCGATGATGTAAAGGCATATATGATTAGTAGTCTTCTTCTTTCTCACGTAAGAAAAGCTTCTTTGTTTGGTACACCTAAACGATTTCGCTCAAACAAAGATAAAATTCTGCAGCACACATGAAACTTGTGCAGAGCCGTTTACCCTTTGAGAAATACAAAAAAATTAGATGAGAATCTTACTCCACCTTAAATTGATCTTTTAGCCAGTCAAAATTGGTCATGTTTGACCAACCGTTAGGCTTAGATGCATAATGTCGACGACAGATGCTTGGGGGCTGTGTTGAGCGCCACGAGAGTGACCGAGACAGCCAAGCTTATGGAACGGGGGACCCAGAAATCTCGAAGCCCCCCTACACTAAGTGCTGTAAACCCCCTCAATTGATGCAGCCCAATAAAAGGCCCAAATCATGTGCTGGAACGGAAAAGTAGCAGGTAGAGAAACGGATCACCGTGATGCGGCGCATCCGACGGTATCTGGAGCCCGCATCGAGTTTCTCCCGAATCTTGACGCAACGGCTATTTACTGGCGGGGAGAAGACGGGCTGTTTTGTTGTCTTCCGCCTGCTGTCCTCAAAACCGGCTAAAATAGGAAGCCGAGGGCACGACTGCAAGCGATCGAGGCCAGGAGGAGAGACGAAGAAGAGGAGATCGATTCGATCCGACCTCTCACCATGGCGTCGCAGAGAGATCGTGAAAACCACGTCTACGTCGCTAAGCTAGCAGAGCAGGCCGAGCGCTACGACGGTGAGGACCCCCTCCTTTCCCCCTTCGAGGTCTCCAGACCATAGGGCCGATTAGACTGGGGTCTTGGTGGTGGTTTCTGGTGCAGAGATGGTGGACGCCATGAAGAAGGTGGCGAACCTAGACGTCGAGCTCACTGTGGAGGAGCGGAACCTGCTGTCGGTGGGGTATAAGAACGTGATCGGGGCTGGGAGGGCCTCGTGGAGGATCCTCTCTTCGATCGAGCAGAAGGAGGAGGCCAAGGGGAACGAACAGCACGTCAAGAAGATAAAAGAGTACAAGCAGAAGGCGGAGGCGGAGCTCTCTGGCATCTGCAGCGACATCATGACGTTGATCGATGAGCATCTCATCCCGTCCTCTGTCGCCGGGGAGTCGTCAGTCTTTTACTATAAGATGTGAGTCAGATCTGAGATCTTTATGGCGGGATTTTGGATGAATGCGTGCTAGATCTGGGGATCCATTTCTTTTGCTTGATTTGGTTGTAGGAAGGGAGATTACTATCGTTACCTTGCAGAGTTCAAGACTGGCAACGAGAAAAAGGAGGCTGCAGATTACTCTTTGAAAGCATATGAGGTAGGAGTTTTCCGCATAGATTTGACTCTCAAGTTTTAGGTATTATCACTAATTTTGGTGCTTTTGTTAGTGACATTTTGATTTTTCCCTGCTCAAAATGATATTTTAGGACCTCTGCATAAGAATCAATGATATGTGGTGCTTCATTTCCTCCCTATGGGCTTTATATTGTTTACAATGACTGACTTCGAGCTTGCTGAGAATATCTTTATTTTTTCTCTTGGGATCTTCTGCTTGTTCTTAGTTTGTTGACTCATCTAGTAATAGAGGAAGAACAACGTTCTCCGTCTATTGCTTTGGCTCTCTCATAGAAAGATACATTTTATCTCAGACGGTAAATGACTGTTCTAGCAATCTGGTTGATCAAATTACTAGAGATGGGTGGAGACAGAAGAGAGAAAAGGAGTATCTGCACAGAAAGCATAATATTTGTATTGTTTCTTAAATATGCAGCAAAGATGCTTGATGCAAACTTCAATAAAAATCAGAGATAACAAAGACCCCCCAAATACAGGGATCTCTAACTCTGGAACTGCATCTCTGCAAAAATTGCAAGTACAAGAGATGTCACAGTGATAATGTGTTGATGTTACTCGATCTTCTCCTAAAATTGTTGGCTTGGCGGAAATAATCATTTTTTGCACTTTATTAAATATTCTTTATTGGAGTCTACTCTTCAAATCTCTGATCAGTGTTCTAGGGCAAAAGGTGGAGTTGCTGATTCATGACATTTGGCCAAAGGAAAAGTGACACATGTCAATCATCAAGCTTTATACTATTTCCTAGGTCGAAATTGTCTTGTGCACATATAGCCATTTAAGTTTATTTTGGTACATAATCTCTATCAACAATCTACAGAAAAGCTTACAGTCAATTGCGCGAACATTAAAACATAGACTCAGAAACCTTTGTGGCATTTTTCTGTGAGGCATCAGTTATACTAAATATGTTATGCTTCTCTTTGAATTTATTTGGAATATTACTCTTATTTCTGCAGTTCTTTTTCAAGATTTTATTATGGTTGTGGTCGTGGTTGTGTTAGCTAATGTCTACACCATGACAGTGATATAGCGAAAACCAAACATATTGGGTGACATGCTGCACTAAGTTTGCATTGTGATTGCACTATGTTTACATAGTAGTGTGTTATCTTAGAAACTTTCCTGAATGTCTCAAACCTGTTAACAGGCAGCTACCAGTACAGCTGAGGCAGATCTGTCTCCTACACACCCAATTAGGCTGGGTTTGGCATTGAACTTCTCTGTCTTCTATTACGAGATTATGAACTCACCTGAGAGGTATGACCTGTTACAGATTTTCTCATTATTCTGTTGTTCTTGCGACAGATTTCATGTTAATTAAACTTTCTTTTCTCAGGGCTTGTCACCTTGCCAAGCAAGCTTTTGATGAAGCAATTTCTGAGCTTGATACATTGAGTGAGGAATCTTATAAAGACAGCACATTGATTATGCAACTTTTGAGGGATAACCTCACATTGTGGACCTCTGACATCCCCGAGGATGGAGGTAATAGCAACTCTAGTGTGGGTGCTGTCTTGAATACTGTTGCGTCAAGGAGTCTATATTATGCTGTTGTTTTCTAATTTGGCATCTTAGTTTGTGCATAGCTCTATACATGAACTTGAACTATAGACCTATTTATTTATATGACCTTGACGTGTCATATTTAGACATTTATGAATCCTTCCCTTAACATTGAGAATGTCTTCAGTTTAGATCGAGAATATGTATCTTCTGCTGATTAAATGTGATTGAAGTTGCAAGGTCATACGAATATTCTTGCCTTGAAAGCTGAGACCCAATGTATGAAACAATAATGGAATAGTTGCAATCTTATCTTAGGCTTCTTCTGAACTACCATGCTAGTCATAAACTATCAAATAACTATCATTGTAGTTATACTATGCATCATATAACTACCATCTGTGGTATGTATCCTTCAATGAAATATTAAGTTGTAGTGGATTTTCATTACTACTCTATGCTGTTTGTGGACTTTTCTTCTGATGTTTACCATGCCAAAACATGTCATCAAAAGCTTAAGCTGACATCATTATTCCTACATCATTGGCTATTTTCTGAACTCCTCCCTATGAATTTATTGATTTCTAGACCTCCGAATCAATTTATGCAATTAAAGACCTTTTGTTGTTGCCCCCTGACTGTTGTTTTTGCTTATTGGCCACAGCAGAGGATACTACAAAAATTGGCGCGGGTGAAGATGCACAGGTAATTTATTCAGGCTTCTTTCATTGTTCATAACTTTGTAATTCTAGAGGTTTCAAGCTGAAGTCTCTCCCAGTACATTTCCCACGTATTCATATTTTAATCGCTGGCTAACAAATTTTACAGTGAGTTCTACCAGCTGAAAGCTAGGACAGCAAGGATAAGGTTGCTGTGGGAACATACATTCTGGCCTATATGGGCTGGTTGCAGCTAATTTTAAAGTCTAGCTTGCATTCTTATGCCTGTAGTGGATTTTTGTGTCACTGTTGGTATGTCCCAATGGGATGGCTTGAATTCAACTAAATCTGCAGCTTATTACTTCACTGTCATGTTTGTAGTACATCTATCAACATCACAGTGTGGCTGTGTTTCAAGTGTTCCCTAAATTGTTGCTATGGAGTGAAAAGTAGATCCTTTTCTTTGTTTGTGTCTACTGTAATTAGTTTTTAGGGTTTGTCTTTTTGTTTGTCAAGTTTGCAGCTATTTAGTTTTCTCCCACAAGAGAATGGAAAGTAAGCCTAAACACTAGACTTCTAGACTTCTTCACTCTAGGATGTTGCTATTTAAAATGGCATCATGCTGGGAATTCATTTGATGACTGTATCATACACCCTACTTGAACTGAGATTGGTGTTACCATTTTGCCATCTACTGTCAAGTGATTCTTAACTAGAATTTTGGATGTTGATTCAGATACAAATTATTTGAGGCATTGCTTCATTTCTATATACATGTCTTGATAACATTAAAAAGGTTTGTAGGGAGATACCTCTGTTTAAGATTTTCCGTTAAATTCTCTGCTGTGCATTGATTTCATGCTTTGATGCCTCAAAGACCTATAGAAGTGCTAAGAGAACATATTAGTAGATGAAATAAACAATTACTTTCCAGAGGCGTTTCTAAATCAGGGGCAATAATATCAATACACATTTGATTAAGGTTGGAATATTACCAAAATAACTCAGGTAAACAACAATAATTGAAATATACATTACCCGACTTCTCAATTACTTAGGAAGAAAAGTCATGATTCATATGAATTTTCCTAATACCTATATACTGCCTCATTTGCTGAGTTCTCCTCTTTTACATCAAAGAAGTGCTAATTTTTTACCATGTAGTGACTAAGAATTAGATTCAGGGCAAATAGAATATGCTAAAGAAAACAAACACAACATCCAGAATTCAGCAGGACTTGAATCTAAGCAGAGGCTAGAGATCAGCCAAATGTCAATTGTTACTAAAACACAATGTAACTGCATAGGTATCTAAATCATTTCAGTTAAAATTATGTCCTAACGGATAACTAAGATCGGTCATCAAGGTTCTTTGACCCTTCTCGGCCAAAGGAAAACATATAAATTTTATGTTCTAGGTTCGAGCATTAAAGCCTGCTGATGAGATGAATAGATGCTCTTAGCTGTGCCAATGCAGTATAACCTCGAAATGAAATATCATTAGATGGAATGCCAGTATGTTCAGTTGTTACTAAACCCAAATCCGTCTGAAGCAGCTCGTGGTACACGTGGCCTCACCGGTGTCTTTGAAGGACTCACCCTGAGATGCAGGATTCTCAATTCATGTTAGTTCAAAGAATTTCACATGCATTAGTTAAAGAGCAGTTAGAATATTGCCTGATGGGTAGATCTCCTAAAATTGTGCCGCTACAATTCAGAGCCATGATTGCACTTTCTGCCTGCATTCAAAGAAATGAATAATATTTTCAACATACCAAACTGTTGTCCAGCTTCATTGAGATGCTCAGAAAATGTAAAGATTGAAATGTAGGCATAATTTTTAGTCAAGGTATATATTTTTGTTCATAATTTTTCCTTCTATAAAAAAAACATGTTTCTTATTATTATATTCACGGCATATATTTTTGTTCATAATTTTTTTCCTTGTAAGACAATCTAGAATTTCACTGCAGAGGAATGAAATGAATAGTATATTGCTTCTTATTGCGGGGAAAAAGGATAGTATCTTCCTTTTTAGATTCAACAAATTCCTTTGTCAAGAAAACCTCTTACTGCAACAGTCCTGCCTTAAACGAACTTGTTTGATGTTTTCTTTTGAAATGTACAAAAAAAAATCACAACTAGAAAAGTAAAAGTTACAATCAATATAATCACACCTAATGGAACACTCAAGCATTGTAAAGCAAGTTAAGTTCAAATATAAATAACATAGAACAAAGAACTACCCATACAACTTACAGCAACCAGTTTAAAAATTGAATAAACCTGATATATTACATCACAAGCTCAACACCCAAAGAGATTTATGCAGAAACAAGAAATTTAACTTGTAAAAAATGATTGTGAACGAATGGCACATATCAATCTTGTCCAAAAGATTCATAGGAAGTTAGCAGGAGAAATTCAATAGTAAACAACGCTAATTTTTTTGTTTGTAAGAAGATGCTAATTAATAAAACAATTTGTCTTATAACCTAAACAGTGTAAAGAAAGAGCTAGAATATGGAAAGAGAAAAAAGTGTTTTAATGGACAAAATGGTAGCACTCAACTGTCAGAATATCTGCCTCAAATCTGGACAGTCTTACCCATCAACTTCTAGTGGAAAAAACTAAATTGCTCTTGCGTATATGTATTTAGTCTCAGTGAATAAAAAAGGTTACAATGAACTTACCTGAACAAACTCAACAAATGCAATACACATCGAGTGTACATTATCACCAAGTAGTCTCAAACGAGAAACCTGTGCAAAAAAATTACACTAACTAATAAGATACTATTACAAGCTTAATAATGTCAGGCACTTAGCTTTAAAGTGGTCATTTAGGGCAGTTATCTAACCTCACCACAAAATTGTTCAAAGAAAATTTTAATATCCATTTGAGTGACCTGCATCAGGACTAGAAGAATAAGTCCTTAAAAATGATCAACATGATCTTCGATGAACAATAGTTTTGACAGAATCATAAAATGACCTGCAAAATCACTTGTAATTATCATTGTTCCATAATCAGAATCATAAAATCAGATTTCGTAGTTATGTTCTACACACATGCCCATTAGTAACTAGGGAAAAAGATGGATCATAGTGCAGGAAGCAGAGATCTGTCACCTTCTTATCGATGTTTGTACAATAAACTGTCCTTACAACCATTTGCTTTTCATCCTCGGACTGCATCAAAATTTTAGCACTCAGAAGGACATCGGCAAGAATAAATAATCTCTCTCTTTTTTTTTCTTTTTTTCTTTTCTCTAAACAGTCTCTACAAGTAAAACTGTATGGGTGTTCACATGAAATGAGCAACCGTGATTACCTTAGGAAGAAATTTTGGATTCACTGGAAGAATTGCAGTCTTTGAAGGTAATACTCTGACAGGATAATAACCTAACATCGTCCCACCAAGATTCAGTGCTGCCCTTGCACCATCTACGAGGATAAAACCATTCTTGTAAACTGAGATGTGATACATGCATATCCAAGAAAACTTTGACAATCATATAAACTTACCCTCATCTGAGAACTCAATGAATGCAAATCGTAGAACTGAATGGGGGTCACCACAAATTCGGCAATCAACCACCTTCAGTAAGAAAATACTTAAAATAATCAGTGAAAGAACATCAATAAGCATGTGATAAGTTCATTGTGTCTGCAGTGAAAGAAAAAAGAGATGGATAAGAAAGAAATATCTTCTATTAACAGTAACATTTATGGACAGAGGAAAAACTCCTTTTCCCTAATATTAAACCAACTTATCTATTATCCTCCAAAGTGCAGAAATGTAACCTTCTCCCAGATTTGCTAATAATTTGGTTGGCTTAATTCCTGTTTCGAGTTGGATAAGACCTTTATGTACATTAAGATTTTCATATATCTTAGATCTATATTCAACAAAAAGGAAAGGTTAATGAAAACATTGTTTATAGATTGAGAATGAGATGATTAAATATGAAGAGTTCCGTCATGAGTTGTGTGATTACCATGTAACTATTAGACTAAAGAATTATAAAACAATTATATGGTCAATCATGTTTTGCAAACTGAGATTTGGAACAATAAAGAAACAATATCTATAAAAAGTTTGTGTTGTTAGGATCAGGATTCAGGAAATTAAGGTGGATATATGGAATTTCTAAAATATTTTAAAAAATGTTTCATTTATGAAAAATAAATATAGCTTCCATGCAAAATAGAATGAGGGATAATCAATTAAGACAATACGAACATAAATGTTTGATTAGATGATGAGCCAACTTGGATGTGGTGTGAGTAGAATAAGGCCCAACACAACTTTACTACAAACAATAAGAAGAGATATAATTTATCTTAGTATGGCTAGGATCTTACCTTACATAAAAGTTCAATGGTGGGAAATTATCCATATAGTTGGCCTGAGATAGTTGAGGCATTATTGCTAGTTGTTGTTATAGTTGTAATTCCTGTTGAGGCATCACTTTGCCGGTCTTGTCAAATGCATTTTGTGGACATGTTAAGTTTAATTTTAGTGGACACAACTTTTTTGTTCCTCTCAGTATTGGGAATGCCGGAGGATGATAACAGGGAAAATTATAAACCCATATGAAATCAAGAATTAATTTTCTAACTTGATCTTTCAGTTGCTTTATGCATTTAAGAGCTAAATAATTGGTTTGAACGAGCCTCGTAATGACAAAGGGCATGCATCATCAAAGAGGAAGAAACTGCATAATCTTTAGCCGCAAGAGTGGGACTTTTACAATGAATATGTAGGCCTGCGAGTCTCTGCCTGACCAGGAACCAATCTTAACCAAGATCAACAGCAGATTAGCTTGTTAAAGGACAAGACTTCTATTTGTTAGTGATAGTCCCATACTTCCAAAGGTCATTTCACATTTCCTTGTTTCAGGTGCCAAAATGGGTGCTAAAAAGCATAGACTGTTAAAAAAAGAAATTTCCTATGGCAAAGTCATGGAAAAGCTAAATGTTTCCTTGATCAGTAAATTAGAAGGAAGTCAACAGATTAAAAGCAAAAAAATATGAAACTCCAACCAGTTTAGCATTATCCGGTACAGGAAAATATATGATCATTCCAGGTTTTGTAAAGCATAAGTAGGAAAATTCTAATAGATTTTGTGATTTCTGAAGTTTGAGAAACTTACTGGTCCACAACTAGAAAATAGTTCGGCAAGATTTTCTTCAGTTACCTGATATTCATCAATAAACGATCCACGTTAGCACAACAAACACTAATACTGAATAATTGATCAAGTCATTGTTCATGATTATATGAAAAAGGAAACAGGCAAATTGACCAGAACAAGTAACATTCACAAGAGTGAATGATCAGGCTTATAAAAGGTTTTTGATGGACTCACAAGCTGATCAATGTCAGAAACATATACAGTTCGCCTGATGCTATCCTCCCTCTCAGCTCCCCGAGGTCTATTATTCGTCCTCCTCTTCCCCTCGTTATAACCATTTCTTCTCTGCCAAAGAACAAGCGAAAATGCAGTTCAACAAAAAGGATTCATTTCAAGCAATTTCTCGAATAAAAATTGATATCCTTTTTCTCCAATTCCATGAATGTTCTAACAGATCGCGGTTACTTTCCAATTCAAAGTAATATCAATGAGGTTCTATTTTCTCAGAAAAGGATGGACAAAGCTGGACAAATCCAATATCCTTTGAACCCTACAATTCAAGCCATCTAAGCTTAATATCCAAATTGCAGTAAAAGAAAGCAACGAAATCAAATTCAAGAGAAAAAGAATCCAAGTAACTACTCTGCGATTAGGCTGATCATTCGATGATCCATCTCCGCTCGATTCCTTAGTGCCACCATTGTTATTGATCGGTTCACTATTGTAATAAAAGTCATTCCACGATACGAAGATGGGCGCATCGGCCGAGAGCCGGCCGTCAAATTTGCGGTGACCACCGGCGGCGTCACCGGAGGCAGCATGAGAGGAAGGGAAGAACTCCTCGGCGGACGGGTTCAATTTGGAGAGCAAGTCCACCAGATTCTTCACGTCCCTCCGGTACTCCCTCTCTGCCTCCGCCTCCGCCGGCGACTGGCGGTGGATGAACGGATCGTCCGACCCGATCGCCTTCTCGGCCACCGCGGCCATTTTATTTCCCTTCACTCAAACAAACACCAACAACAACCTAATCGAGAACCGATCGAATCGGACAATACGACCGATCAAGCAAGAAACGATGCTGGCTGGCTCGCTCACTTCTCTCGCTTATTCCTGCGGGCTTGTTTTGGAAGATTGGAAGACTGAGATGGCAAATCGAGGAGAGAGGAGAGAGATAGGGGGCGAGGGGGAGAAAGGTGAGACGAACCCGACGGAGGGGAGATGTTGCGATTAGCTATAAATAGAAGGATTATTCGCTGCTTGCAGCGTTTAGTTTGTTACTCTCACTAAATGAGAAGGGACAGATAGACCGAGAGAGAGAGAGTTCCCATTTTGTTGAATACTGTTTATAAATAAGATTATACCATATCATGTTTAATAGATGAAATAGGAACAGATAAGTGTAGTTAATTCATCAATGTCCAATTAATTTTAGGATTGGATTACAAAAGATTGTTATCAAGAGCAGATAATAATAAGTAAGCATTGGAGATGAATGAAGACGGAAGCAGGGCAGCCCAACTTCAAAGGAACAGCAACGCGTCAGCCTCACAAAGCCTGCTTGTGAACAAATGGTGAGAATGGAATGACACGGATGAAAGACGGATATATGATAATGTCCATTAATGCATGTATTCGATTTATTAGTAGAAATCGATCGAAGCGCCGATGCGTCGCCGGAGCGTCGCTTCGGGTGCAGGTTATGATAGCATCGTACGGCGGGGATTGGATCGAGGGAGGAAGGGGCAGCCTCTGATGCCCGTGGAGGGGTACCGGTTTGACGGTCAACGGTGAGGCACGTGGGGCGAGGGCGTACGGACTGGGTTATGCGACCGGCGCTACTCGTGCGCGTTGGGTTTTGTGATGGGGTTGAGAAAGGACGAAGGCCGTCCGATTGCCGGGATCAGCATGGATCCCTCCGTGTTGGGTGCTTCTTACATTGATATCTACCCAGCTTTCAGATTTCGTAGTTGACGTGGTGCACCCCATCACTGCATGAAACCTTAATGCATTAGGATGGGCCCCGTCTTTCTGGTTGTAACATCACCTTTACAACACACGATGTGAGCCCCCACATTATATGATATGTCTCTTTTGATCCCACACAACCTGGCTACTAGCTGTGGGTCCCATCATCAATCTGCCAATCTTGTGCTCTCCTCATTTTATTTATTTTCTTCTCCCCATTTTGTACACTGCGGTGAGAGATAGGGAGTGTGTTCTTTTTTTCTGTGAAGGCACCAACACTTCATTAATCTCATATTTATAGAGGAAAAAGTTGTTCGTTTTCACCTCTTACGTGATCTTTCTCTGCGTCTCGCGTCCTCATCATTGTACATAAACAAAAAACCCGTGACACATGGAACATCTCAGAGCATCTGTAGCGAGAGAGAGGGCAAGAGAGAGAGAGAGAGAGAGAGAGCGAGAGACCAATGCTAGCTTTTGAGAGAGTAACCTCTCCACCTGGTGGAGTTGAACGAGACCTGTGACCTACCAAGCACAAGAGAGAGTGTCTCTGCGGCAAAGCATGGCACTCTTCCCTGGGGAGAGAGAGAGAGAGAGAGAGAGAGAGAGTACCCAGTTTGAGTCAGCAGTGCCACCACCTTGGCATATGATTTGATTGCACTGCTGGTGATTAGATCCTTTCGGAACTTTCATTTGGGGAGAGAGAGAGAGAGAGTTTGTGTGTGTATGGAATGCATGAACATGAGCTTTTCATTTTATGGAGTTGTTCACTGACCTACACCATCATCATCGCCACAATCACTACAGAAAGGAGCTGTAGTGTGGAAAGGTAGAAGAACAGATTAAAGAACCAGGGGATACAGAACCTTTTCATGTTTCCATCTTTGGTTACCAGCTAAACATGAACCACCTTTTCAGGGACATCTTTTGACCACAGACCTCTCCACCATGGCCTCCGGTGCTACTTCTCAAACTGCCCAAGCCTGTTGTCTGCCAGCATGGTTCTGCAGGCACACCTTTTGTACTCGCACCATGTGAACTCCCTGTACAAGCTCTGCTCTCCTTCCCCCATCAGCAGTGGCAGAGGTGCCAATCTCTCTCCGGAAGGTGGCCCCCCAAAGTAGACCATGGAGACTCTGGACTTGGAACCATTGGCCAACACCCTGTGCCTCACACTCCTGAATCTCCCATTTGTCAGAACCTGCAGTGAACAAACTCCCAGTCATATATATATGTATATATATATATATATATGATGATGATGAAGAACAAGCCCACAGAAAGGAAGGCATGGCTAAGACAAACTCCCAGCCCTTCAAATTCAACATACTTATAGAAATGGGTGTCACAAGCTAAACATGTGGGGTCCCATCGGATGAAGACCTTAATTAATGTTTTCTCGAATAAAAGTTCCTATCTCATAGCTACCTAATCACATCAAGATTGCTGTCGCATCGCTCCACCCTGTGCAGTGTCTGCAAGGACCATGGTGCTATATTTAGCTTTTTACCTTTCTGACAGATCAAGGGTGTGAAAACTATGCTACCTAGTGCCATTGGTATCATCAAAGTTGATTGCAGCAATCAGGTTCGGAACATATATATGAACTATGAACAACATGTTCATCACCTGTAAGGAATCACCAACATTGATGAAAAAGGATGCTTGGTCGGGAAGGACGGAGACCCAGCTGCCATCTCTCAAGGAGATCTCCAGTCCCGCAATGTTGTTTGACCTCAGCACTGATATTATCTGTGGGTCAGTGTGCTCTCCAAACCCTGTCATGGTACCATTAAACCCCGGGCATGGGGGGTAATGGTTCAGCCTCAAGACCGAATCACTCTCCTCGTCCATGACAAGCTTGCTGAACACATTCCTTGGCTCAATCTTCAGCCCATCAACCATCAGCTCCAAAACTTCACACGCCAGCTTCCTGACTGCTGATATGTACTCGTTCAACGCAGAGCTGCAAGATGGCCACCACGAAAGGCATCAGTAGCTAAAGACAAGGAATTATTGCAAGATTGGGTGGGAAGCAGCAAAGTAGTACCGGAAAGAGCTTGCCGATGCGTCCATGAGGAAGGGTAGTGACATGGGCTTGGAGGTGATCTGCATGAGGAGGTACTCTACCCACCCCATATCTCCATTACTACCAATAGTCCTACTCCCGTAGCCGAAAGGAGTTGCCGGCCCGACACGCTCCTTCTCTGCCTGCGGTAGCGCGAAGAACTTCATCGCTTCTTCTTCTAGACTTGCAATGAGCTCCATGGGGATCCCATGGTTGGTGACCTTGAAGAATCCGAGCTCCTCACAGGCTCTCACGAGGAGAGCCTCGGAGCCCGGCTCCGACAGGTCGATGACAGGAATACCGGAGAAGTAGGGGCTTGGTTTTTGTGGCCTCGGGAGGGAGACTTGTCCGAGAGCTGGTTTTGTCAACACCACCATGGCTCTTGGAACAGCAGAAACAGAGCAAGAGTCTTCCTTGGGAACAGAGAACAGGGGATCGAGTTGGGTTAGGCTGTGGTGGACGATATCGCTGGCTGGCTTATATAAGGGGGCAACAACATAAGCGGTGGTTGAAGTGTTTTCGTGGAATCCAATAGTAACTCTCCTTCCTTTTCACTGTTGGGTGCTGTTCCTCTGAAAAGGATGGAATGCAGAGCTGCTCTCTCTCTCTCTCTCTCTCTCGGAGAGTCGTATGCATCACCATCGATTCTTTTAACGTAAATATAGTCATGACCATAGTGGTCCAAATAATATCTTACTCCTACTGTAACGCGAGAGGCAAGGACCAGTCCATGTGTGCCAAGACTTCGCCGTCGTCCTCGAGAGTCACCACTATCGTTCGTCCGATAGGCTGGCCATGAGTCCTGTGATGGCATCTCTCTCTCTCTCTCTCTCTCTCTCTCTCTCTCTCTCTCTCTTGAAGTCGTAATTTATCTCGAGTATCTTGTCTCATAAATGAGACGTTTGAATGAAAATAACAGGAAAAGATCAGGTAATGTCATAGGATGGATGACAGAAGCAGAAGTGATATGACGACTGACTTCTCCTGCTCGGTTAATATACACTGCTCCTGCTCAGACAATGTTACATGCAACACGATATCATGTTGATCGGAACATACCGGATCTGGCACGGTGACCCAGAAAGGGCTCGACATGTGATGTGGGCAGCCATCGCGTCGACGGCCGACGTGGTCACCTCCCCGGCTGTCGGCTAATTAATGCGCGTGCAGAGAAGGCTGACATTTGTGCATTTGTACAGTGACAGATAGGGTAGATTGATGTCCAGGTTCTAATTGGCCATTCCGAACCCCTCATGACTCGGCAATGGTAAGTAATGACAAGAGACGCACAGAGAAGAACGAGTGATCACTGCACATATCGAACAGTCTGGTTCTGGCTGGTGTTAGGCAGTAGAGTGGTCATCTGGTCATCAGTCACGTTGGTTCCGTATCGCCCACAGTTCCATTTCAATAGGAGTTGCTGGCTTATCCATCGCCATGGGGCGTCATCGGTTTGATTGTATCGGGTGATGGATCGCATCGATGGGATGGCCGTAGCGAATACAGGGCTTGTTTCTTTGGGGACAAGTAGAATTTGAGGGTCCTGTTGACTATTCATCAATAGTTCTTGAGTGAGCGACTTGAAAAGGTGGAGAAGGTTGAGTTCCAGCAAATTTTGTTTTCATAGATGTCAGTCTTGTCTTCTGGAACAGTAGATTTGGATCTGAAATCGACTGCCTGTGTCTTTGGTCGCTCAAGGACAGTGACCTGTTATAATGATTCATCACTTTCTTCTATTTCTTTCTTCTTTTTTCGGAGGAGACCCCCCCGCTTTCAAATGAATCATGATTCATTTCGTTTTATCGTCATGTCGATTTGCACCACCAATCAAGGAGGGTTATCATGTCGATTTACGGATGCACGCGGTGGCCGAGGTCGAAAACCAAGAGCCCATTTGCAACCGGAACTCAGCTCTGGCTGTGTCGATGTGTAGCCCATCTGCAACTTCAGCGCTGTGAACGCAGAGTTCTGTTCACGTTTACATCCATCGCATGTATAAACTTGATTAAAAAAATATTTTATTTTTCTGTAACCAGTCTTTCATATCACATGAATGGAGCAGTATCCGATCAAATGAATCACGAATAATCATCAGCCAGAAAAATAGAACTATCGAACTCGATACTTGACGCAAGATATCTGCCTCTGTTCTATAGCACCCAGGAACAAGAGGAGAGGAGGCACATAACCGGAAGCCCACTCAAGGAATCACACTTAACGCAGGGAAAGGGCAACGATGGACATCAAGGAAGCCAAAGCCACCGCGCGAGCGCCTGGAGTAGCCGCGATGGCTCCATTCTCCATGGCCGGTGCAGGACTGGGCGCCAAGTGGTGCTCCTGCGCGCTCACCTGGATGAGTGCCAGCACAAGCAGCAGCAGGGAGGCCTTCACAGAGCAGCTCACTAATGCCATTCAGAGAGAGAGAGAGAGAGAGAGATTGGTCTTTGTGAGGGAAGCAGCAAGCAAATACGCAGGCGGCGGGCATCATTTATGGGGTTGGGGTTGGAGGAAACATAGCCGACGAGGGAGGCGAGAAGCTGAAATACGTTTCTCGATGTCGCAATGGCCCACCTCATGCTGAAATTGTAGCCGTTGGAAGCGTCTCGATTTGGGCCGCGCAGCGAAGTCTACGGAACGTTGAACGGTAAAATTAGACATATATGCCGAACGAATTGGCGTTGACGTGACAACAGATTGTTTTAGCTTGGATGTCTCGTGGGTTTAGGATTCTACGCAATTGTTGTGATGGTCAAGAGTGGGGTATTGAATAGTTTGGCGATCAATGGTCATGCAGAGCCATGGAATCCTTCCCTGTTCTCTCTACCTCTGCCTCTGAAGTCACATATCATAGGTGAAATCTGTGCTCAAGCAATTGCAAAGATTCAGTAACATCAAATGATCATCTTTTTCGAGTTTTGGGCACATAAGAAGGCTATCAGATTGTGCAGCCTATCCCAATACTTGAATCGAATCAACGAGAACGCGGTGTTAATTGCTACATGACACACTCACTGCTTCATGCCTCCACTTTGATCGCCTCTGTGTCGTTCTCTTCGTGAGCCGCGTCGTAGGTTGCGTGAAGACCGACGAGCACATAGTAAACCAGCATCACCGCTGTGCAGATCCCAAACCTCACAAATGCTTCGTAGCCGAGCGAACCCATCAGGAACAGGTTCGTCGCGATGGAAAGCGACGGCAGCCATGGAACCAGGGGAACGCCCCACACCTTCGGCGCCCGCTGCTGCGGAACGAACACCGCGAGGCCTAGCGTGCTTAGAAACCAGAGTGGCATCGTGATCGCGTATCCGATCCAGCCTTTCGGGTTCGAGTTCCAGTAAGCTGATACGCCGACGGACGAGGCAACGATCACGGCTAGGAAGAAGACTAACTTGAAGAGATTGGCTCTCGGGGTGACTTCTCGGTTGTAATATCTCCTTACGAGCAGTGCCAGCGCCACGAGGGCGAAGATGAAGAGGGTGCTGATGGAGGAGACGGTGGCGAGCACATCCAGGCTCGAGAAGAAGGCGATGCAAGCGCTGGACATGGTGACCAGGAGCGTGGCGTAGACGGGCGTGCCGGTCTTGGGGTGTACGAGCGCGAAGTAGGGCGGGATCATGTGGGTTCGCGCGATCTGCGTGGTGTACCGCCCCTGCCCCAGCGCGCCGACGAGCAGTCCCGTGGTCATCCCCTTGAGCGCGCCGAGTGCCACCAGGTACTTGGCCCACTTCATCCCCGCTGCGGCGAACGCCACCGCGTAGGCCGCGTTGGGGTCGAGCTGGTCGAAGCGCTGCATCATGACGAGCACGAGCGCCATGACACAGTACACGACGGTGATGGCTGACATAGAGCCGACGAGGCCGAGCGGGACGTCCCTTGCCGGGTTCCTGGTCTCCTCCGCCATGGTGGCGACCATGTCGAAGCCGGTGTACGCCCAGTAGACGACGGCGGCAGCCTCGAACACCCCCTTGGCGCCGTTGGGGAAAAGGGGGGCCAAATTAGCCGGGTCGGCGTGGATGAACCCGGCGACAATGATGAAGCCGATGACGGCGACGCTGAGGAGGGAGGTGATCCAGTTCAGGGTGGAGGTGCCACGCGTGCCGAATATGGCAACGGAGGAGCAGGCTATGAGGACGACAACGGCGATCGGGTCAAGGAGATCGAAGCCGGCGGCGAGGGCCGGGGCATGGATGCGGAGGGAGTCCGGTTCGCGGCCGAGGAGGGTAGCGAAGTAGGAGGTCCAGGAGCGGGCGAGACCTGCAGCGCCGACGAGGGCCTCGAGAAGGATGTTGGCGGCGGCAAGGTAGGCGAGGAATTCGCCTAATTCGATGCGAAGGTACGAGAAGGAGCCTCCGGCGGAGGGGACGTCGGAGGCGAACTCAGCGTACACGAAAGAGGAAAGAAGGGCGGAAAGGCCCGCGGCCGCGTAAGAGAGAGGGATGGCGGGGCCGGCAGCGAAGCGGGCCTCCTGGCCGGTGATGACGAAGATGCCGGTGCCGACGACAGAGCCAAAGCCAAGCCAGGCTAGGTCCCACCAGGACAAGCAGCGGCGGAGGCCATGCTCGCTGCGGCGGGGGAGGGCGAGGAGTTCTGCCGCGTCGGTGGAGCGGTGGAGGAGGCGGTCACGGAGGCGTGGGCCGGTCCGAGAGAGGGCCGCGCGGTACGCCCCCCAGTTCCGGAACGATGGTTCCGGGAAGAAGTCGTTCTTGCTCCACCGCCAGTAACTCCGCTCCTCGCCTGCTGAGATGGAAGCGGCGCCGTGGCTCACGTCGCCGCCGATCGCTTCCATGGACGGAATCACGGTGTACATTTGTGATTGGAACTTGGGCTCCAATATATATTATCCACATAATAATATAAGATCGCCTTCCAATTGCATATGCCTCGAGAAATTTGTAAATTAGTTCCACAAGTCCGTGTATTCTTAAAATACGCTTCTTCCATATCTGCATCAGTAATACGGTATCAAAAAACATTAAAATCATGATTTTTTGTGTGCATATACTTATAATAATATAAATATGTGTTATTGGCATAATTCGTTTGACAACTGGCAGTATCTTTGGATGTTAAGCAGAATCTGTGCTATGATCTTGCTAAGATCGAGTTATGGGAGGATGGCCGTGGTTCAATGAATCTGGACCAGAAGCAATTGCCAGCTGGCTCGTCGGTGCACGTTTATGTTTCGGCTCACAATGGAATTAGATAGATAATTAGCATCCCTCTTTTGGTAATGCAAGTATTTTTCCATGATGGTATCGCCGTCATGTGCCCTTCCATAATAATTAATATTACTGAAATCATGCTGATGTTTCCAATCATCAATACAAGTACACACACCCGTCTGCTAATGACAAGTAACGAAGCGCCCATCCGTGGCTTCATGCCTCGCCTCCTGCACCAGCTGCTGCTTTCCTCTCTGCTTCCGCTAAATCTGGTCTTTGGTACTGCCCGTGCGCCATGTCGTAAGTAGCATGGAGTCCAAAGA